ACGCTACGAATTCTGAGATGCCATGGATGCGACATCTGGAAGATCCTGGATATGATTCAATCCTGGTTCCTGGACAGATCCTGGATATGACTCAATCCTGGTTATAACAGAACACTAGATATAACATCTGGGAGGTTGTGTACTATATGACACGGTTCTGGCCATAATAGAGTCCGGGATACGACATATGGAAGATCCTGGAATGATAAAGTCTTGGATATGATATCTGGAGGATCCTGGAATTATAATCCTGGATATGACCTATTCCTGGTTATGGCAGAACCTCGAATATATCCGAAAAGGCCCTAAATATAATATCCGAGAAGCCTTGGATATAAGAAAAATAATTCTTCTATATCTAGGGCCTTTCAGAAATGAAAATGGGTCATTCTCTTGCATTTTCGAGGGCCCGATATATTAAAACAATAGCGTTAAAATTTTCATTGTATTTTTTAATGAGATGTTTAATTTAGCTTAATACTTTCGAGGCCCACATAAACGCCAGCGCTCTTCCTTCTAAAAGTGGGCCCACCTCTCTCCGCAAGCCATAAAAATGGACGAATAAAATCAATAGAAGAAACTGTTCGTCACTTCAATTAATTTACATAAATAATTAAATTTTGGGCCTCCTTTTTGGCTAGGATCCTGGAAAAATGCTCGTTATTTCAATATATACGGAGAAGAAAGCTAGGATAAAGAATTTAAATGGAAGAAAATGTTTCTTTCCACATAAAAATAGTCAATAGTGCTTAAAATATAAGAACGAGACTTTTGTTTGTCCGAATCAATAGAGAAAAGTATTATTGATTTTGATATCTCCTGAACCGCCTCTTGGATCAGTTTTGACCCATCCTTTTAATGTTTCATAAAATGTGACTGAAAAGTATGTAAAATGCGTATACATAATTTTAATTGTACAAGTGTACATTGCATGATAATCAGGTTTAATAACAAATAATTACAATAAAGTAGTGGGAAAAAAACATTACTGGCTGCTATATATAACAGAGGAAAAGTATGGCGATCGATCAAAAAACTGACCCCTCGAGATTTTTACACTTTTGGACTCGAGGACCTTGAAACGTCCAGAAATGCAAAAGAAATTGGGGGAGGGTTTACTGTCTGTATGGATATTAATATGTGTTTTCGTGTGTAGGTGTGTGGGGGTAGCCACTTTGAGGCTTAATAACTTTCGTGCCTTTAGTCGAAACTGCAAAAAAAGAAAAGAATATCATTTCTAATCACTGTCCTTACTAAACAGGTTCTTTTCGTTCCCAGTATTATTTCTTATTTTTATTTTGTTTTGTTAGCTGTAGAGATGAGAATGGAATAGAAAGAAATATCGCTACTGATAATTTCTTTCCCTTCCCAAGAAATGATTCCGTCCATTCGACCTAACAATATTCCAGTACACACGAGTTTTATCTTTTCCTAGATAAAGATAACAGGTTTAAGAGAGACATTGTATTATATGTGGTACTATTTTCGGTAATTTTTATCACGTTCTCGCTTCGAATACATATTACTACATCCAATACAGTTCCTTTCAGACAATTTACCTTTTCTTTCATTGTAATCATTTTACACGTAGATAAATAATTGGGTCAAAAATGACCCCATTGGCAGCTCTAGTGATATATATAGGCCTATATATATACAGTTTATCTCCAATAGCTGTAAATAGTGCCTATTTTTTCAGGAATATATATTTTTGGGTGGAAACTTAAAATGCATACAAAAATAACCTGTAAATTACGGCCACTTCTAAATAACAGAAAATAATTTAAAATTCGTAAAAAAGTTTCAGCTCAATGAAAGTGAATGGATTCTAACACTCTCATTGAGCTTTCGGGGATTACTATCTCTGATTTATCGCTTGGTCGATCGAAGGTAGATCAAATGCTCGATCAATTTAAAAGTATGGGACTTATAACTTACTTCAAGTATACAGGAAAGAAAATCGAATTTCAGGATTAGACTATCAACAGTGATGAGGCAAACGAGATATCAAGTGCACAATTCCTGAAATGCGGGTTTTATCCTATTACAGAAGAGGGGAAAACAAAGAAAAGAAAAAAGAATCTAAAAAACGGAACAAACGAGCCACTTGCAATATTAAAATGGAAACAGGAGAAATTGTTTTAAATATTTTATATTTTCTTGTTAAATTCAGTGAAAACCTGTGTAAACCGGACTCGTAAGGTATCGAATATTTTTCCAGATTTTTTTTTAAACGGGGAATCTCCGCCTTTCTAAGAGTTTCCCCTATTTAAGCAGGTTTCCGTTTTAAACAGGTTAAAACCTGTTTAAAACGGAAACCTGCCTAACTTCTGATACAGGAAATCTCTGTTGTTGAAGGGGGTCGGGTTTCTTTCACGTGTCTAACATCTAAATAGGGGCCAGTTTCTCGTAGAAGTCCTTGGCAGATCGCCATGTATTGCGTTGTTTTATTCTATCCTATTCACTATACAGATCCGGGCCCCACTACCACAGCTCCAAAATTCCCTCTCTCTCATTGGTTACTTAATATAACTGTAGAATTTATGAGCCAATCGTATGATCCTGTACATCGTCTGAAAGAAGTAAAATGAATCTCGAATCAATCACGAATGAGGGACGATTTAAAGACGTGGCCCTCGGCAATAACACGTAAAAGGGCCTCCCTCCAAATAATACAAAAACGAGACTAAACTACGCAACTGCACAGGGGTCCATTTTGTTAAAGGCTAAGAATAATCACACACTAAATATTCCGAATGAGTAATGTCAGTATTCAAACAGGGCCTCGAAGAAGCTAGAATTTCAGAGGAAGGCCCTAATTGCCTCGTTAGCGTGAAGTCCCAAAATGAGTACTGCAATCTCACGCTTTAAACATAACACGAAATTTGAGGCCCCCCCTTCTTTCGGGGCCCTACAAGCTCCATTCTAAAGATACATATGTTAATTATGGAAGCCAAGTAAAAGAAAAAAAAGAGCTGCAATTCTTTCTTAAAATTAAACTAGAATTTTTTAAGGAATTAAAAAAAAAGAAACTAAATTTTTATTCTCTAGAAGAAGGAATAAACAATAAAAAAAAAGGGAAAGAAAATAAAGATGAAGGCATCTTTACCTGAAGCAAATCTCTAACAGCTCAGGCGATCTGTAATTGGATATAGCTTATGTACAGTATTGTTTTTTTTTATATATATATATAAAGAAAGAATTTAGTTTATTTTTATTCTTTATGCTAATTACATTTAAGAATTAAAAGAAATAAAGCTAATTAAATAAAAATGTGGGCCATTGAAAATAAAATAAAAATAAAACACACACAAAGAAAAAATGTAGACAGGAGAGATAACAACTCTCGAAATTAGTTAAAATAATTAGATTTTTTTAAAGTTTAAAAATAAAAATTTTAATATTTATTACTTAAAAAACTCGATATTATATTCTAATTTTTAAAATTTAATTATTTTAATAGATTTTTTGATTATTATTTTACTAATTATATTGAAAAAAAAACCTTGTCGTTCCTTCATTAAAGTAGGTAAGCATCAGCTAACTTGCCCTACTTCTTTACTTACTTTTTCCACGTTTAAACGGTAGAAATTCGAAATTAAATTAGAATTTTTATGTAAAAAAATGTCTACTGCTTATATTTTATTAAAATCTTAAGATATTATTAAACATTTTAACGTAATTAATCGGGAAATGATTAAAAAAAAAAAAGGTTGATAAGTTAACCTATATAAATTCTTATACAGCAGTAAATATATTAATAAGTTTATTTAATAATATATATTATATTAATTACAGAGATTATACTAATTTAAGTATGTAAAATATATTTTATTATAAGAAACGTTTTAGACATAATTTGTAATTTAGTAAAATTAGGCTGACCAACCGGTAGCTCGCGATCTCCGAGAGAATTACGGATCGTAATCTTAATGTAACGTCACGAATTTCTGGTACATTAAGAGGATGTCATTAGGAGAAAAGATAGAAGAATTCTGCTGAAATATCTGAAATTATTCGACCATTAAGAATAAATAATTTTCTTTAATATCTTTGGAACTTATAACTTGCAAATTCACACATTTCGCTACAAAAATATTTACATAATAATGTATAATTATCTACGATACATTGAGGGAAAAAAGTGATTAAAAAATTCAGCAATGAGTTGCGTAACTTTTCCGGAAAAAGAATTTAAAATTGGGTGTGGCGCCATCTGTTACGAGATTTTATTTGAAAAAACTTTTTATATTAATTAATTACTAAAAATCGGCAAAAAGCTTAATTTTTAGGTAAGGATGGATTTTATATTTAAAAAAGAATTGTAAATACTAACGAGAAAAATCGTCATTTAAGCCAGACTCCACTGGAGACACGACACGTGACTCCGTCTATCTCCCCAACCCCTCGACCTTTAACCTCCAAAATTTAACAGCATTAACCTCCCTAACACACGAACCTCCCTGCAAAATTTTAGAAATTTTCGACAGAAGATACAGGAGTTATTAAGCTTCAAACGGGTGAACAAAATCGTGACCCCCCATACACTAATATCCGTACATACAGGAAAACCCCGAATGTTTTTGCATTTCTCGACGTTTGAACGTGTCCCGAGTCCATAAATGAAAAATCTGGGGATGGGTCGAGATCAAGAAAGAAAAAAAATGGCGTCGTGTAATTAAAATTACTATGAATGCATAATATAGTACTTCTTATACACGAATTTCCGCTTGATATCGGACGTACTTATATAGTTAATCTGGTCCTCCTCCACGTGCGGTTTCCACCTCTTATCTCATATTTCGTCTATCGAACTCCCTTCTCGAGATTAAGAAAGGACAGACCGACAGACTAACGAAAATTGGGATTTACAGGCCTAGAATTTTTTTAAATTATAGTGGTCGTTGATAGTATATTTAAAATAATTCAATCGGTTAAAATTTATAAACAACGGTTATTTAAAAAAGAATTTAAATTCAATTTAAATAATGGAACGAAAACATTGATAAGAATGTTTAATTCGAATATCTTCGAGGTGAAAATGTATTTGCTTAACGTATTAATGAAAATAGGGATAATAACTCTGGTGAATGTTTACAGCCGAGCCAGATATGAAAATATATACAAAATAAAAGAATACAAAACGATAAAGGTAGAATATTTTCCACTTGGCAACGGGGAAATCTTTGTTGTTTTCCCTACGCCGTTATTGAAAAAAAAGGAATTTCGAGTCAGTAGAAACTCTACCATCTTTTCGGCTGCGACGAAAGTCTACCTGTGCAAAGGGAGGAAAATACAAAAGTCTCACCTGAAAAACTTTCACAGATTGTTCTTTGTAGAAGGTAAAGGCTTATTTGGATATTTCTACGATAATCAGTTTACCGGAAGAATACAAATCCTCAACGACGTTTACTATGTCGAACGGTATTCTGATTATGCTTTAGTGAGTCATTCCATAAAATTTATAGTATACGATTTGAAAAAAGTTGAATACAAATTTGTACGGCGCAATAGAAATTTCATCTGCAACGAAGTAACGAATGATACCGAATCAGGAAGAACCGATTGCAATCACGCAAAACTGATGGAAAATATATTAAATGTCAAGAATACTAAAAGGTAAGGCTTGCATACATTTATTACGTGCCACACGAGCATATTTAAAATTGATTATATGGTTTATTTTGTAGCAATAGAAGAAGTTGTTCCTTAGAACTCTTGGCTGACTACACGTATCTTACAAGAATGGGTTCTGACAGCACCAGAGTAGTGGCACAGATGATGTTCTACGTCATGAACGCAAATTACGTCTTTAAAAATTTAGACATAGACCAAGATGGAATTCCTGATAATATAGGGTTTAATGTGGAAAAAGTTACAGTTTTCGGAGATGAAAACAGTCCTAACTATCCTTTTCGGCCAAATACAAGCTACACTCATACGACGTATTTAGATCATTTAACTCGATATTCTCATCCCTATTGCATGCTGATCTGCTTTTGTCATAGGGATTTCGGGACCGAATCGACGTATTCGGTTGGAAAAGTGAGAAAGAGAGGAGGAATATGTTCCCATGTAGGGCCTGAAGATGCCAAGATAATGAATAATGTGGGTTTCGTTACGGATATAGAACATGGATTTCTATTGCCAAAAGTTGAAGTAGCCGCCAATGTACTTCACCAATTAGGACACGCATTTGGTTGCCCGCACGATCCTGAAAATTGTAAACTAAATGATACCAACATCATGCATCCCGACATTCCCCTTTGGGCAACTTCGAGCAATTTGAAATTTTCTCCATATTGCAAGAGAAAAATCCGACAATACTTACAAAGTAAAGGTAAGGTCAATTGAATTACGTTTATTGTGTTAACAATTTCTATCAAATCATTAATTGTTGAAAGAAATGCGATAAATTTTGAAAATTCTTTCGTTACATTTTAACTATTAAAGTGAATAATATTGCCGAGAGATTTATAAAGGTGCTGTTGGAAAATTTACTTATGTTACCACTCTTACAATTCATATTCGATATCGTGTATTTAAGCCGTTTCTGAATTTGGAAATATAATGCATACAATAGGCAAAAATATTACATTTCATTCAGATGAACCGTTATTATCGAATTAAGATGATATTAGCTGTTATAATTAAAATTGCAAAGACCTAACTTTAGTTGGTTTATTTGTTTCGTGTGATATGGCAACGCAACGTCCGGGCAATTTGCCGAGAAAGGTGCCTCCTAAGAGGACTTTCTATAGAAAATTAGTTTCTATTTAGATGTTAGGAAGGTGAAGAAAACTCGGAATACTTAAAATCTCGCCCGTTATTCATATGCGAACCCGCGTCCAAATACTAGTGTTCGTTGGTTTAAGCCACTCGGTCACATGCCAGCTTTAAGCTGCATCGAATATTTTTGCCACAAACTATATTTTAATCTCATTAATGGTTTCGATAATGAGAATTTTTCACCACCATTCAATAGTTTATTTACTGTAGTTGTAACGGTAGGTTATACTTACGTACGATGATGTGACCACACGAATACAAGAACCAAGTACTTTATTAATCGAAACAGAAGCATTCTTTACATTAATAATACATAGAAGATCACCTTGATAGGATCACTTGAACGAACGTCCGTCCGGTACGTTACTCCACAACCAAATTTTGTATCGAAGTTCGCGCCAACGAGTTAGAATATACTACATAGAGTGAGTATAGCGACGTCACGTTAGAAGAAAATTAAATAGAAATCCGCCATTTTGCTTTTAGTCAAAAGGCGTGACGTTTGTGTTGTGTAAAGGCAACGAGCTAGAATATTCTAACTCGTTGTGTAAAAATGTGCAAAGGAAAGGAAGAGTTTTTAATACCAGTCTGAAATGGTGTAAGTTAAAATGACCCTAAGTATCGACAAGTTAAAAATTCTTAATTTTACTTTCCCGGCTGTTATATATACATAATAAGGGAAAGCATTGGACCCTTGGAGGTTTTTTTTTTATTATTTATAAATCTTCATATTGTCGCCCAGCCCAAAACTTTGAACTTTGAGCTAAATCCAAAAAAAAAAAAAAAATATTTCGTGTATGTGTGTGTGTTGGCCTGTATAAGAAACGAAATTTGGCACGATAGCTTGTGTATAAGAAGCATTACTGTTCCTTATTATTATTTAAAAACATCATACTCCTTAATATTAAAGATGCGGGGAGATAGAGGGTTGTCATGTGTCTATCTCGACAGAGGTAGGGCTTAACAATGATGCATACCGTGTACACTTCCTAATGATGCAGTTTCTACATATCAGTTTCTTTTACTTACTAGCGTATTTTATTTGTCTATTTTTTAATGGGCAAATGCAACACTTCTTCCATTTTCCACAATTATTAGTTCCTTATTACCACTTAGAAGGATTTATATTCTAGCTCGTTGGTTCCTTTTTTCTATTTATATTTAATAATGACCCCCTAAACATTCTGTTAAACATGAGATTTTTGATTTTATGCTTACCATGGAATCGGCGTACTACAACATTTTGGTAAAATTAAATACGGTCATGAACTTAAGTGACTCCCAAATCGCTGGTCTTATCATATTATTTCCATGCATCGCTGTTTGCGTTGCTCAGCATTTATTCCGAACTTTGGTAACCGTCAATAGTAGTAATTGCTTTTTAATTGTACCATTGAAATTTGTGTAATTTTACATTTATTTATTTATTTATTTTTAGAAATAGATTTCTGCCTGAAGACACTGCAAAGATCAGTGTGTGGAAACGGAATTGTGGAGGAAGGGGAATCCTGCGATTGCGATGATTCTACCGGTCAATGTGACATAGAGAAGACGTGCTGTACGTCTAGAAACTCTCCATTACCATGCACGATTCAAGAAGAAAAGGACTGTTCTCCCGCTACAGACGAATGTTGCGATTTGAATTGCAGAATGAATACGCGTGGAGGCGTAAAGTGTTTCAGCAACGTACCGTGTTACAACACTTCCAATGTATGTAGTATAAAGTCGCCATTTTGTCCGTTGACACTGGAGCCAGACCAAACACCTTGTTTAGGAACAGCCAAAACTTGTCGTTCCGGAAAATGCATCAGCAACGTCTGCGAAGACAATAAGCTAAAAAGTTGCGATTGTTTGCCTCTAAAATGGGAATGTCACGTTTGTTGCGAAAGTAAACCTAAAATCTGTCAAAGTGCCGAGTCGCTCGGTTACGTTCCGTCCAATCATCAAGTATACGTAAAAGCAGACGGATCGCATTGCGATAAGAATTTTGGAATTTGCACGAGGTACGTGATCTTAATTACTTTTATTTTACCATATAATTTTATTCATATGTGATTATTTCGACAGTGACGGGTACTGCGCTTCGAAGAAAAGTTACAGTTTATGGTACTATATGTCACCATTGCCTTTCATTGTACTAATAATTGTAGCTTTGCTATATCTTCCCGGAAAATCGAAACCGAAGGACACCGAAGACGTTCTAACGACAATACAAAAGAAAAAGGTAGTCAAATCGCAACAGAAATCTAAAGAAGAAAAGCGATCGCCAATTGAAAACATCAAACAGCGAATGTCTTCCTTGGGCTTAAAGTCCAAAGGAGGTGCACAATTACCTACACAAGACGAAGAAGAAACTCAATCGCCTACTCGAGTCAAGAAGAGGACAAAATTGCCCATTAGAGTCATGCAAAAGAAGACACCAGTGAAGAGCATCGAGCAAGAAATTCAGGGCGAACAATCCTTAGACCAAAGCCAAGTCCAACAAGAAGATCAATCGACTGATCGAGCAAATCGAGCCAAGAAAACGAAAGTAATTGTCAAGAAAAAGAGGAAACCGACGTCATCAGATGATAAAAATTGAATTATAATCACTTTAATTCGGTCATATTCTAGCATTGTGATCAATTTTAATTTCTGTAATTAGAAATAAATAATTTTATATGTCATGGAAATTTAATCGTGTTTGTTTTTGTTCATCTCACACAACTATAAATTCTTGTATGAACAATATATAATAATTTCTATGTTATTGGGCTGTAATCTGAAAAATATGTAGACCTATAAAGGCTTATTGTCATTCGTCTGTCCGTCTTTCCTCAATCTCGAGAATGGATATTGTTAGATATATGAACTTCAAAACGAGATTTAAAAATATTAGGGTCAGGAGGCCATAATTAACTATATACAAACTTTCGATACAAACCGGGATTCACGTTATTTCAAATCGAATCTTTTCCCCCGAAAGCAGTTAATAGATGACCGGCACCGACTGTATTGCTAAAAGTGTGATATACA